CTTTTAAGCTGACTCCTTATGATTCAGTTTGTCAGAAACAACTGTCACATTTGAAACAAGAGAATTAATTTTGATGCGAATAAAGAGTTTATTGAAAATCAATCAGAATAATCATTGCACATCTAATTGAGTGTTCAAGCTTTGAGTGTTTGTTTTTGGAACGTGTTAAAATGTCGCTTCTATGTGACGATAACCCTGTTCCTTCACGTTTATTCCAGCCGGCCTGATCAACATCTTCAGTGGTTATGGTCCTCTCACTGTGGAGTGGCCGGGTAAGGACGGAAAGCATCCTCGCTGTCCTCCCAAAGGTAATGTGGCAAAAGGTAAAGACAAGTTGGTAGACCCCTTTTTTTTTTTCTTCCTGGTTTCAGGGTGGCACTCTGGTGAGCACACTGGTATACTGGTGAGTTTGACTGTGGGGGTTCAGTGAAAACTGAAACTTAGGGCGGTGACTCTGGGAATAACTGGAGAATAAAACATGGTGATAGAAGCAGGGAGAAGAAAGAAGAGATGCTTCACTGATCAGCTCTGTAGTAAATGACACTTTGGTGATAGTTGGATTGGGTTGATCATGTGTGAGGACCTTGGAAATGTCCTGTTAAGTGTTTGTGGTTCTACTTGTGTCCTCTGCTCCGCTGTGGTAAGACAGGTTTTCTGCTTTTGTCAGCAAATTGAATGTTCTAGATAGAACGGCTTCAGTGCGACTATGTCTCGCATTTGCACCTAAAAATGGATGCGAGCTGCATATTTTTAAATATGTATGAAATAAAGAACGACACTTTTTCACTGTGCTCCTAAATTTATTTGCGCCTAATTATTTTTTTTATGTGCACGTAGTTCGGATAGAGTCCTGAATTCAGTTAGAAAATATAAAGGTGCTTTTACCCATCCTGTCCAGAGGCTTCTGACTAATTGCTATTGAACTAAATGACTAAATTTTGTGGCTCTTGTTGAACATGATCATTACAGTAGTGGCTGCCTGAAAAAGAATTGACCAAATAAGTCCACCTCCTTTTACCAGAGCCTCATTCTGTCTATATCCTAAAGTGTTTTACTTTTTGATGTGTGTAGGCTATGTTTACCTGGTTTTTGAGAATGAGAAGTCTGTCCGAGCGTTGCTCCGTGCCTGCTCCCAGGACCAGTTCCCCCCCGAGGACAACAGGGAGTACTACTTTAAGATGTCCAGCCGCAGGATGAGATGCAAGGACGTGAGTAGAGACTAGAGCCAAATGTAAACTGCAATATACATGTTTGTAATTATCTTAAAACACTTCTCATAACACAAAATCTCTTTTGTGCCATTGGCTTATTGCGAAGCTCTCTCTCTGATATCATCAGAGCATAAATGATTAATTGATTAATCAACAGCAATTTTCATAATCCATGAAGCAATTTAACGAGCGAGCATTCATAACACTCACTGGCTATATCTTCTATAATAGTATCATCTGTTTGTAATAATAACTTTATCATCTGATTCCTGATTCTACATCAAAATGTTTTCAGTTTCAGATTAGTATCATTTGAGGATACTTCAGTATCTGCACGAGAACTTACTTTAAACTCGTTATTGTACCAGCACTGGTTCAAAATTACTCTGCGCTCAGACGTCAGATTCTCAAACTGGATTTGGATTCTCCGGTTTTTTTCGGGACCTACATCTCCAGCACTTTGGTTCCAATGTGGCCCTAAGCTTTTGTGTAATGTTACACATCCTGGAGTTAGAAATTTGTTTCTGATATTGTCACAGTACAAGTATTCTGGGAGTGTGGTCTTTCATCCCTGCTGTTACAGGTGCAGGTCATCCCCTGGGTGATCTCTGACAGTAACTACGTGCGCTGCCCTGCCCAGCGTTTGGATCCCAGTAAGACGGTGTTTGTGGGTGCACTGCATGGCATGTTGAATGCTGAGGCGCTGGCCAGCATCATGAACGACCTGTTTGGAGGCGTCATGTATGCTGGCATTGACACGGACAAGCACAAGTACCCCATAGGTGAGACCTTTACTTTGGAGGAGTTGGTCTTTTTCTCTCATTCTTTCTCATCTCTTTTTCTCTTTCCTTTATTTATTTATTTTTTTCCCCTCTAATTTGACACGCAGCCTAAAAATTATGACTCGTACAATTTTGACCTTTTTCCTTGAGAAATGATTAATCACTGAAGATGCACAGGAGGTTAACTGCAGGCTTTCGTCTTTTTTTTTCCAGACACGTGGAAACGTAATCTTAGTTACTCATATTTCATACTGATGTTTTCATATTGTCTGACGTTGCCACGATCAATGTATTGTTGTGTTTGCAATTAGGGCAAATTAAGTGTAGATTCAAAAGTTGACATGAGGATTTGAGGCAAATTGTTAATTCACTGTGGAACATTTAGTACCATTTGTTTAAAATATTCAGTTTATTTCTTGCTGAACGATGAGATCCTGAGTAGTAATGAACTGTTGTTGTGTGCAGGCTCTGGACGTGTCACTTTTAACAATCAGCGCAGTTATCTGAAAGCTGTGTGTGCAGCATTTGTGGAGATTAAAACACCCAAGTTTACAAAGAAGGTAAGACGCTCTGATTAGACTTTGATTAGTGATTATAGAAAGTACAGTCTGTGCTGCTGCTGAATAAAACAAGTGCATGTCAAATATCAAGATCTGTTTTTAGAAAAATCTAACCTGCAGCACAAAGTCTGAATCCCTAATAAATAACATTTTAATATAGTTTATATATTTATATGAAAAATGCTGGTGCTTTGCTTTTTTTATCTTGACAAACACCTTTTGTGAAATGAGGGTGAATTGAGATTCTCGAGAGCTTTTGGTTTCTTGAAATTCAGTTAGAATGTGTTGTGGACGGAGCCCTGTCTTCTTACGGTCACTGCTGCCGGCTGAACTCCTGGGCTTTGTGTTGTCCCTCAGGTCCAGATCGACCCCTACCTGGAAGACTCCGTGTGTCAAGTTTGCCTTCGCCAACCTGGACCTTTCTTCTGCAGAGACGAGGTCAGAGGAAAAGTATTTGTCATGTAATCATTGAGGCTGATTGTTGGAGGACAAAGTGCTGGTCTGACAGACTCTACCTAAATTGTATCATGTCTTGCTCCAGATGGAACTAATTTATAGTCCCAGTATGAAATGTTTGACCGATGACTGATTATAAACTAGCGGAGCAAAGCACAATTGGCTGCCTTAGTATTTGTAAAAATGTAATATTTTCCTCTATGATTGCATCAGCTTGTCAAGATGAAATCTGGTTTGAACAAGGTTAATT